GCTCTGGAGACGAGAGCACTGTTTTCACCCCCCTTCCTCCATTCCAGTCCATCACACTACCTGAGTCATGCCAGACTGGAGTTTTCCAAAGGTCTTGTCAGGTTATATGCAGGTCTTTTTAAAGTGAGAATACTAGTCCTGTGCTGCATAGAAGATCAATTTAAACTGGGAGAAAGAAAGGTGGGCTTTGCTGTTGCTGGCTCTGTCACTATTGGGTGTATTCTGTCAATAAGGGGTTTCATATGGCCATAAATTTATTGTTTTTATTATTTGAGGGCTGGAGTGGGGTGGCACTATTTGCCTACTCCATTTGAGTTCCATGGCTGTCCATGGGCTACTTTTAGGTGCTGCCAGCCATGAAGATTAAAAATGACCTCACTGCATTGTTAATCCCTTGGAGCACTAGTCAAGAATGGGACTTAGTTATTATTGAGACTTCCTGCTATTCCCTGCACCTCTCCTCCATAATTCTGACCTGTCAGCTGGGGTATTTTTGGAGATGGATTTAGTGCTAAACTTGTGTTCAGACATAGCTGGAGACATTACAGTTCAGAGCACTTCCATGCCTGTAGCTATCAGCTGGGAAGTTTGATGACTGATTCAATACACTGCTTCCGACACCTGGCTACACTCATCCAGTGCTGCCTTACCCCGCATTAGGTGATGGGAGCAGATAATGCTTGATGGGAGGGGAAATGAAGCCAGGAGGGTTTACCAATACTTTCTTTAATTTGTCCCGCATTGAAACTGTTAAGGGCAGCGTCAGGCACTGGCCTTGTTACTGTTACAGGATAGGGCTGGGCAATTGGGATACCTAATGTTATTCTGACATATTTTTCTGTTGGCTCAAGGACTAGTGGATAGCACTTTAAGACAATGTTTGGTAAGCCCCTGAGCCTACTATTTTCTAATTCTGGAATGTGACCCCTGATAGATTCCCACAGGTTGAAATAGGCTTTTGTCATACGCTAATGGGAATAATCTATGAGAATCCTTGCCAACACTCAGAAAGTGCTACATACAAATTAATTTCTACAATTTAAATATTTTTGACAGAATAATAGTCTTTTGATTGAGCTGCTATATATTGATTTTATTTTCCTTCTGCAAAAATGGCTCAACTCCCAGCCATAGCTATCTGTTTCTAATCATACTGACACCAAAATGATGAAATGGGCATTATGACATCACAATGCAAGATCCAGCCTTTGGTCCTTGGATTGCAAGTTCCATACATGTATTTAAGTTGGCAGGAAGGGGAATTTGCATCACAGTGCTGTCATAGAAATTTGAAATGGAAACTTTATTCCAGTATATGTTGTAAATATTGCAAATAAAAATTGAATTCTGTTATTGGTAACTACAGATTTATAATAGTAAAAAAGTGGAAAATTAAAGTTTTATTTTTCTCCCCTATAGATTAATGTATTTAAAAGTGTGGAAAATAGCATCACCCCCAAAATTAGCACAATAGCAAAGAGTTTCAGACAATCTTTTATTTAAGATAGTTTACTTAAATTTGGTCTGTATTTTTTAGGCATCTTAACAATTCTTAATAATGACTTTCATCTGCCCTAAAGTTGCTTAGGACAGAAATACTAAATAGGGATGCTTAAATATTTGTAGCCCTCCTTAAAAATTACAGTCATGAATACCCCAGAACTCTTTGTTCGTTTTGTGTTTTTTCCTTCCATATTTTTAATAATAATTTTTTAAAAGGAAAAAAAAACCAAAGACCAAGATTCATACACAGATTTGCCAGCCCAATTTTCAGCTAGTTTTTGATTACCTATTAATTCTTAATCATTTATAAGTAGAAGACTGCACTGTATAAAATAGCTCTGAAAAGGCATCTGCACCAGCTACTTATCTTATTATAATATTGTCAACTGATTTGACAGGAAGATTATTTTTTCCCCAAAATAATGTATGTGTGAATTGAGCAGAGGTTATCTTAGAACTCTTAATAAGATATAAGCAGCATTTAAAAACAGCATAATAGCGAGAGGTGAAAGTAGCTGCAGATATCCCTACTGCAAAGCTTGGATGCTTTGAAAATCAGTTTGATGATCTGCTGCTCCTTGCGGGGGATTCCCTTCTCTAATGGAAGAAAGTAACCTTTTTTAGAATGTCTCATTAGAACTTCTATTTCTTTTCTTTCCTTCTCCTGTGAGTTACCTCTTCTTCTAGTTGCATCTTCATCCAGTTATCTGCCTTCACCTTTTTCCTTCTCTTCCCAATACAGTTACCCTTCTGCTTAGATCACTGGCCTGCCTGCCTGCCTGCCTGCCTGCCTTGTCTACTGAAAAGAAAGATAGGAGTCTCCTTATATAATAGGGTTTTGTATTATATAGTGGCTTTTGTGTAAGAGGTGCAAGAGAGAGGAAAACATGGTTGGAATATTAAGCTGCTGTGTTTACACATTTATTGGGAGGGTGAATCTCCAGGATCAGTTTCAGCTAAGCTGACAAACTTAGATGGACAAAGTGGAAAAGCTGGGCATTGCATAGAACTTCTGTATGCATTTATTTCTTTTCTGTCTAGTCTGCCTGCTTGCTTGCTTGTTTGTTCATTTATTTATTTCAAGTGCTTTTATGCTGCTTCAGTCAAGAAAGAAATCTAAGTGGCTTACAAAAGTAGTATACAATAAATTATACAATGTATGTTATGTTGTGTTGTGTTGTGATGTTATATTATATTATTAGAGAGCCAGTTTGGTGTAGTGATTAAGGCACCAGGCCAGAAACCAAGAGGCCATGAGTTCTTGTGCCACCTTAGACTCAAAGCCAACTGGGTAACCTAAACAACATCACCGTAAATCCACAATATTAACAGCATCCTTAGCAGCACACACATACATTCTCAGTACATATTTTGTATTAATCACTGAATACCTACTTAAATAATTACATTTTCACTGCTGTTCAAAAAAGATTAACAGTGAGGAGTGCTATCTTATTTTGGGGGAAACAATTCCACAGAAGGGGAACTTGGCAGAGTTGTCTAAAACTTTAGTTTAAGAGAGTGTTCTTAAATTCAGGATCACCAATGACAGTGTTCAACTTAGGGGGAAGATCTTCATGTGTACAAGTCTGTTTGAACAAATTGCACTCATATCAAACTATTGTTCTCATACAAGTCATATTCAGTAATATCTTATTGTCTTTTCTGTTTCTTCCAGCTCCATTTAGTAAGCCTATCATCAAGTACAATTCATCCAGGAATCTTTGTGACCCAACAGAGTTGACACTGAGCTGTGTGTCTCATGGAGGCTCTTCATGGCCGAAGATGTATGGATTTGTCAATAATAAGGCGGTGCACTGGACCTCTGTTGTTGCATATAACAATGATTCTAAACTTTTTAATATCACTGGCACCTTGCAGTTAAATGTGACAGAAAATATGTTGGTCCAGTGCTCAGTTGGATTTTCAGATTTCCAAGTGTCTACCAACGATAGCTTGAGTAAGTTCCCTTCATTTTATATAAAAGCAATCTTATTTGATTGTATAACATAGCAACTGAGTAAATGGCAAACCCCAAACCTATCTGAATTAATAATAAACAAATAAAGCATCTTATTTCTGTATGAAAAATTGCTACCTGGGGTTAGAAAGAAACTGAATTGGATCCAGAGTTACTCATGTTTAGTCACTCAGATTAATGGAAAGTAAATGACTCACAGCCCATTGATTTAAATTGATTTATACTAAGTAAAGGTAAGCCTGGTCCAACTGTTTATTGCCATTCTTCTTTTCAACCATTCAATACTACAAATTATTATTTCCTATTTGATCAGATGAAGAGACACTTCTGCACTTTACTGAATCTTTGAGAGACAGTAAAAGTGCTAGCAAAAGTTAGTAGCTATAACTATTAACTAGTGAAAATAGTACTGAACATAGTTTGAAGTAAATTTGAATACTACTTTGATGTGTGGATATAGCTGATATTCTTCCTGTGCTTCAGCATGGAATATGTCATTTTGTTTGTCTGGAACATATATGGAAACAGTACTTGCTCTCTTAGATTCAGGTGGATAGTCGTCATAAGAAACAGAAAGGCCTGGTTTCCACATGTATGCAGATTTCAGACTTTACAAGGAAGAATATCTAACCAAAGACCTGAGTTAAGAAAAAAAAACACCAAAACCAAGGTCTTTTCTATACTACAGTTGCTTGGTTTCCATAAGCAAACTGGCTGGAAAAGAAGCCATCTTAAGAAATTTCTTTCTGGATTCACTCCTCTCTTTCTGTTTTAGTCACAGCAAGGACTTGATGTCCTGCAAGGAACACAGCCCCCAGTTAGTATATTGCCCTGCTTCATCTGTCCCACCCATGCTGGGAAAACCAATTGTCTTCCTTTCTGTGGGTGGATGTTGAGGACATCTAGTTTTCATTGACAGACTTTTTGTATTAGTCCCCTCCATTGTATCTCCTCTGTACATGACACTTTCCCATCTAATGTGTCCACCAATAGATTGGTAACAGAGAAGAGAAAAGACAGCTGTTTCACCTTTCTTCCTACCAGTTGAGGTAGAAAGGGAAGCTAATAATTTCATCTGGTTTGGAAGGGAAGGGAAGGGAAGGGAAGGGAAGGGAAGGGAAGGGAAGGGGAGGAAGGGAGGAAGGGAGGAAGGAAACCTTTTGCTATTCTACAGCTCTGTATTTCACCAGTCACCGGGGCGGTGGGGGGGTGCTGGTGGGAGAGAGATTCACCAATCAAGCTCTCTTCAGAAAAGGGAAGGCAATCCAGCAGCCCATCCATAATGGCTATGGAAGATAGTGGCCAGTAGTTGGAAGGGAGGGAGCATTCCTGTCACAGTACACAGTAGGCAGATGGAGGGAAGTGTAGCAAGAGAACAAGATAGCCTCACTGTGCCAGCATAATGGAAAACATTAGGAGAAGAAGTTGCTTTTATAGTGGGTTGGAAGCAATTAGAGGATACTGTTATGTGTTCCTGTAGTTGAGAAACATTTAGTAGCCTGGACTTGCATGGGGGCAACCTAGTCATGCAAATCTGTCTATAGTTAAGACTAGTTTATACCATTCACTTATATCCTTCATAGGTTTCTAGCCTTGTAAACTGTTGTTTTCACTACATCTCTTCACTACTTCACACATTGTCTTTTATTCTTTAAGCTTCTTGCTTCTTTCTTTTTGAGCATACAACCACAACTTTCTCAGTTTTCTTTTTTCTTTTTCTTTTTTTTTACCTTTTGACCCATTCACTGTTTCTTCATATTTTTATTTTATGGTAAGTCCTTATTCTTGTGTAAGTCAGTGTGGCACTTTAACTTCATGGAGACTATATCATGATGCTACATCATGGAACCAATGATTTCTTCACTGTGGGCCTGGATTTTTCAGTAGTATTTTCAATTTTTATTTCAGATATGACAATGGAGTGTTCTAAACCTACATTGCCACCATGGACTTCTCCACCATTTGGGATCATCATTTCTTCATCAGTGATCCTGATTTTCCTTCTAGTTGTGATAATGCTAGTAACACACTTATACTATTGTAAGTACTGATACTTCTATCACTAGCCAGTGCACTGTTGAGATCCAATATGAAATGATAGAATAGTAATCAATGAGGTCATAGGGCCACAATAGACTCTGAGAATATGCAATCTTGTACAATTGTCCCTCCCCCATTTTCTGAAAGCTCATCAGCATTTAGCAACCTTACCCAGGAATATACTGAGATCTCAAGTGAAAATGATGAAAACATATATATCACATGACATTATAATGTTCTTATGGCATTTGGTGTTTTTGCAAGATTTTGGTCCTTCCTTTTTAATGGTTATAACTGTCATTTTGGTGAACATCAGATCCTCAGATTCCCAGAGGTACCATATTTCTAATTCTTGTGATATGGAAATAAAGTACAAAGGGTAAACACACTGACAATTAGGTTCTTAATAAAACAGTTGTTAGATGTGATGCCTTCTTCACGCATTCGCAGGAATGTATATGCAGTTGTATAGAGGATTGGGCCATGGACACAACCTTGACCCATACTCTCTCTGACCTCCACATGTTCAACCAGAAAGTATAAAGACTAGTTATACTAACCTTTACTTGAATACATCGATTACTTTGCAAATATAGGTCTCCATCTAATCTAGAACATTAATAAAGCACACAGAAGTACAGCTCAATTTCTGAGGTCTTTTTTTTTTTTAGATTTTTTTATCCTACCTTTATTATTTTATTATAAATAACTCAAGGCGGCGAACATACCTAATACTTCTTCCTCCTCCTCTTTTCCCCACAACAACAACTCTGTGAGGTATGTTGAGCTGAGAGGGAGTGACAAGCCCTAAGTCACCCAGCTGGCTTTCATACCTAAAGCAGGACTAGAACTCAGAGTCTCCTGGTTTCTAGGCTGATGCCTTAGCCACTAGACCAAACTGGCTCTTCAATCAAGGTTGAAGAGTGGAGGGCAGGGGCAGGGTACAGACATTCCTACTTTAGTACTTTCAACATTCCTACTTTAACACATATAGAGTAGTAAGAATGGTTTGTCTCTGTTATATCCTCAAATAAATAGAGCTAAACCATTTAATAAATCCTAGCTCATTAGATTAGTTTTGCTACTAAATCAATCTTTGCAATTCTTCACTCAGGTTTAGGAAAAATAGACTGTCTAAGAAATTAACACATCCCTGCGCAAGTTTCAGATATTTTTATTTATTTATCCAGTTTGTATGGATAAATAAATAAATTATATGGATATATCCAATTCATATTTCTGATTTCAAACTTCCAGTCCATTTCTTTTTCATATAGTGACTGGCCAGTGTTCAATAGGGCATTGTTAACTAGAAGGCATGTTTCACATTGGGAGGTGAGCAAGTAGAAGAATCCTTTTGTTGGGATAATAGCAGTATCACAGTAGATGTGGGAATACAGTTGATGCCCAAATTTTCTGCAGCATTTAGTTCTTGAGTTTGTATCATTATAGTATGGTCTGTTTTTGCTGAATTTAAGTTATGTGGTTAGTATATTCAGCTACAGGACCATTCACACACGTTTTGTGAAAATAAGACTACAGGATTTGGGTTGCAAAACTTTGTTGTTGTTTTTAATCCCGTGTCACCACCATGTAATTTTTGAAGCTCAAAAACAACAGAATATGATTATAGAATACTTTCTTCCATTTGATGGATTATGGATTGTAGTTCACCAAAGTTCAGGGCATAATAATTAAGTGTGTGTGTTTATGGTGCCACAAGTCTCTCTTATTTTTGCAGCAAATGACTGACACAACTATTTTTCTGGAAGTCTCTGCTTCTAGGAATTTCTCTCACCTGTGTATCAGAAAGTCAATAAATAAGTTTTAAAAAATCCCCTTTACTACTAATCTGCAATTTTGAAAATAAATCTTGGTCTTTAAGAGTGAAGTGACTGTTCCTTCTTCATGTAGTCATTGATTGCAGAGAATGTTGGCTTTTGCATCTCTATTAGGCTAGCAGTTAAAGAGGGAATTCTCTTGGAGGTCTGTTTTAGCATCTATAGTTTGGCTGGATATGCTCTGCGTTTTCCCAGTATTGGGCAAAGGCATTTGTAATATATGGAAGCAGATGCAACAAAACACTGTTTTCTTGTTTGCATCATTTTTATCTGTATAAATAGGAAGTGGTTATTAAATATAAATAAACAACACTGCGTATATCTCAGAAAAAAACATGTTAACAAGAAATCCACATATAAGAGCAAAACTTTGTCATCAGAAATATTACTTAAGATGCCTTACTGTGCATGGTTTGGATCCATAGAGATGTGAGAACATTTTTCTTCTATGAATTCTGCATTTTTAAGATAAATTGATAAGGCACTCTGCAAGTGCTATCTTTTTCTAAAATTTACAGCACAGTCCTTTCCATGATTATTCAGGAATAAGTCCAGGTGCCTGGAGAAGTTTGCAGTGTCAATTTTATGGCTGCTTACCTGATGAAAACTTTTATTGACAAAAGTTTAATCCTGAATATATATTGGAATCATTTTTGCTATATCTGGGAGAAGATAACCTGTCTAAAGTTCTTCTATTATAGGCTAACAAATAATTACCTTGTCATATATGGAGAGAGGTGGGGGGGGGGAACTAGTCAGAGTCTGCTACACGTGCTTGACAAGACTAGTGATAGACTATTCTTACAACTTGTACAATAACCCAGTGAGCCACTAACCCAGTCACATCTTCTTAGTAATGGTTCTGCCAGTAGGCAATCACACTGATGAGATCAAAAGTCAGCTGGTTTTGGAGTTAATGGAGCTCTATCCATTTTCTCCAGGACCTGTCTGGTAACCCCTGAGCCTAGGCACCAGGAAAGTACTAACAAGGTTATACCTATCACTCCCTCACTCCATATTGGCCAGACAGGCAGCAATTGATGTTTTGTATATAGAAGAGAATCAGTATTGGGAGGTATGCTTTGGACTGCCAGGCCTTGGCAATGAATTCTATAATAGAAATCCTTTCTTTTTTAGCCACTTCTTTGCTCTCTTTTCTTCAGAGGACTAAGCATGCAAGCATGGTCTCTTGACTCAGAGTAGGTATTCCCAGGACACAGCTAACTTGGTGGAGTCATTTAACCCTAGGCACAACTGGGTTTATTTAAGGCTGAATTTAACCCCCTTGTCTGGATTAATTGCCCTCTTTTTGCTGACTAGAAGTCACTAAATCTGCCCCATTGACCCAGTTAATTGCTGTGAAAACAGGACCATATACTAGTAGTTTTTTTTTTTTTTTTAAATGAAGAGTGGCTTATGTGTGGTTAACCAAAAACAAGATAATGTGGATTGGGTATATAAAAAAAGTGACTTCCTCCCCTGCATGGGTTTACATTTAATAAACAATCCTTTTTATTCCTCTTTTAAACAATCCACCTAAGTATATCCTATCCATCCAGAAACACTACTCAAGAGAAAGAGCTCCATGACAAACCAGCAGGCAGCCATGCTTTGGTCCCAACTTGTCATAGATCAGCATAAATGCATGGAGTCTGTAATGGATGGTGTGCAATGGTATGTAGGAATGACCTTGAGAGATGACAGGAAGAGATGCTGCCTAGGGAACAATCAGATAAAAGGGGGAGGAGCCTGGAGCTGCATAACGAGCACAGAAAGAAACTTAGAAAGGATCTGCCCTAATTTATCAAGCTGTAAAAAGAAACTCTGGGAGATTTGTACTTTTAGACTTGCAAGATTTTGTTAATGTAGCTTTGCAATGAAGTAGAATTAGCTCATCTTGTCATGTTTCCTGTCTGGTCTACCTGGGAGGCTGACATGTTGGGAGGATAGAAAGTAACCTAAACAAAATCTCTTCCTTTAGCTTTGTGCTTCATTTTGCTGATAAGGACCTGGGAATAGAAGATAGTTTAGCTTCTCTTAGGACATAGTGTCAATAGCAGGAGGATGGAAAAGGAGGTGGCATGAAGTTGGGAAGTCTTAAAACTTCCAGAATGAAATATGAGGATCAGAGAGGATTCTGGGAAGAAGAATCTGAGTAATGGATGAGCTGGTTGGCAGCTGAAAGTGTTACCATGGCTAAAATGGATTAAACAGCTCTAATAGCTATTGAAGATGAACTGTATACTACTGGTTTCCAGAGTAGAGTTGATTGTAAACCTAAAATGAAGTGAGCAATTTTCACTAATTAAGATTTATGGGATTCTGGGTGAGACCAGAAGAAAACATGCTGAAGTGTTCAAGGGCACAGTCTGGGCAAGGAAGCATGCTGAAGAAGAAAAAACTCTGTGGGAAACCCAGTTAGATAACCAAAAAATTTACCTGGACTTGAAGGGGACAGAACATAACAAGACCTCTTTCCCTGCAAGAGAATTAACTAGATGCTCATCCATCATCTCTATAGCTTGAGACTGGTTGGTACCATTAATTAAGCAGTTTCCTTGAGTGGTAAATAGTACTGCTAGGATTAAGGTCCAGAGAGAGTGCACATATGTTAAGCACACATCATATTGTGTTTGGAATTGCTTTCTTAGAGTGCTTTGGGAACAAGCACAGTTCTAGGCTGTGTCAGCCTATCAGTTGGGAAGGGGGAAGTTGTCAAAGAATGTAAGATAATGTTAAAGCTGGTAAAACTACTTGTCTGCTCAGATAAAGCTTAGCTTTTATCCAAACTACTAATTTCTATCTTTGTTTCTTACTTAAATAAGAGAAAAATCTGGAAACTGTGATTTAAAAATATTTTTCCTTTGCACTAGTTCGCAATCGTCCAAGGCCCTCCACCACACATCAGCCACTGGCAACAGATGAAATGGTACTCCAGGACCTCTCTAATGGGCAGACACCTTCAGGGCTGAGGAGGTAGGCTTGGTTCTCTCCATTGTCCTCTTAAAAAAATGAAAACAGAATCAGAGTTGGAAGTAGCCATGTAAGCTACCAAATTCCCCTTATGCAATGCACTGCATGTAAGATAAAGTCTTCACTGCAGATGCTGCCTGGTCTCTGCATAAACACATCCAGTGAAAAGGGGCCCACCATCACTCTTGGTAACCAGTTCCACTGTCAAACTCCTATTACAGGTAGGAAGTTTATTCTAACATTCAAATCTCACACCATGAGAGCCAGTACAGTGTAATAGTTGAGGTGTAGGACTGGTTGTTGACCCAAGTTGAAGGTCATCCTCAGCCAAGTAAACTTGCTGTCTCCCAAACCGACCTCACAAGGTTGTTGTGGGGAAAAACTGGAAGAGGGAGTACTTGAACACCTGGAGGAGAGGCAGGATATTAATCAAACTAATTCAAATCAGCACTGCTATAATTTAAAACCAGTATTCCATATTGTGTACTGTGTAGTGATAGAGAACATATTTTGGGCATATTCTTTTGGACATTATATAACTGCTATCATATATTTTTCAGTCTTCTGAAAGACATGCCCAGATCGTTCAATCTCTTTTTGTAGAGATTAGTTTCTAGTTCCTGATCTTGTAGCCCTTCCCTAAATCTGTTCCACCTTATCTGAATCTTTCGTAAAATGTGATGCTGAGAACTGAATACAATACCACACTTTGTTGTACCAAAGCAGAACAAACGTGTTATTTCCTATCATTTAGAGATGATGCTTCTTTTGATGCAATCTAAAATTCTGTTTGTCTTTTCTGTTGCCTCATCCATGCTGAGTAATATTCAGTTTGCAATCAATTACTATCAAAAGTACTTTTATCAAGCCACACAACTTCTGCATGTTTTTTATTTCTGAAGTGAACTTTGGATTTGTCTATTAAACATAATAATAATTTAATTATATTTATATAATTTCATCACATTTATCTAACCCAGCTTGATCTCTATCAGTATCACTTTTTAATTTTATTTAACTCTCCCCCCCCAATTTTGTGTTATTTGGAGATACAATCAAGCATTCTCTTTTTCATACTAAATGTTGGCAAGATATGGGAGTCTAAATGCATTTTATTTTATTTATTCCAATTTTTACATGCCAGCCATTCCAATATTATGCACCTACCATCTACAATTCAGAATTTCATATAGCAATTAAAGCTATTTAAAACTTGCAGCATAAAAATTCTAAAGTAAAAGGCTTGGATAAAAAATTAGGTTTTATGCCTTCTCCTAAACTGCTAATCAAAGCTAGCCTTTGATTCCAACAAAAAGTATTCCAAAAAATAGGAAAGAACTGGGTAGAATTTCATACTCTACTAAATTGTTTGTATTTTTATATACCAAATACCTAAATAGCCTGAACCAAAACCTTTCTGGATAATTTTTATGAGATTTGGCTAAAATGAGAAGAATCTCTGAATCTTCTTGAGGACCCTGCTGACTTTTTACCCAGCGTTTGGACACCAGGTTTCTGAGTGTACTACTAAACATAGTAGTATGAGTCTCAGAACCTTAGAATATTGCTCTTTTCAGCTCTGAAGTTGTATATAGCTCTTCCCCATCTAAGATAGAAGCAGTTTTGTTAAGAATTAATCTTTAACACAAAAACAAATGTAGGGAGAAAGGGTCAAACATCTCTGTTATTGGCTTTTCAATTTCTAGTTCCAACAACAACAGCAATATTCTAAATTTAACTTAAAATAAAAACAATCTGATTTCCAGAATATGTCAAAATAAACAAGAATCTATAATAAAAAATAAACTAAAATAAATAGAGAAGTGAGTTATATTTAGTTGCAGTCATGTTTTGATCCAGTAACATTTCTATATCTTTGTTTCCTTCTTCCCAGAGTTTTGAACTGGTCAGTGACAAGTTAGGGCAGGGCAGAGATCCATGAGAGTTTTCCACTGTATTATAGCCCTTACATTATTCCAGACTTTGTAAGGTTAATGCCTTCTCCTAAACTGTAACAAGAAAGCTAGTCTTTGATTCCAACAAAAAGTATTCCAAAAAATAGGAAAGAACTAGGTAGAATTTCATATTCTACTAAATTGTTTGTATTTTCATATACCAAATACCTAAATAGCCTGAACCAAAACCTATGGGAACACTCCAGACCTATGAAATTGTTAGCCATATGGAATGCCAAACCATTTAACTTTTCATGCTAATCTGTTATATTAGATATTCATGTTTTTTCTTTCCTGAGTTGGCAACAAACTCATAATCAATTCTTGCTGAATAATTGGTCATAAATTCTAATCTGGTTTGAGATGATACAAATGCACTGATGGTTATGAGACCTTTCCAGTCAAGAACATCAGCAGTATATGAAGATACACAATCCTCGTCACTTAAAATTGAATTCTTCTTTTACGTGATATTCATTCCAGCAACAACAGAAATATGTTATCAGGGATGTACCTACAGACAACTTACCCACTTAATGCAAAAATTAAGAACAACAGTGGGGAAGTTGAAATCTGAAAGTTGCACCTTTCCAGATACAGGTAGTCCCCAGGTTAAGAACACCCAGTTTAAGGACAACCCATAGTTAAGAAAGGAGGCTATTGTAGCAAAAATCAAGTTAGATACACATTAATTTGCGTTAAATACACAATGGTTCGAGTTAATTACAGAATGCTAAAAGTTAAAAATGTGTCCAATTTTGAGGATGGCAAGAGCAAAGTTATCAGTGAGCAGACCATGGATTATATGCAGTAGTATTTATTTGTTGACCATTTATATATTTCATAATTCATTTTCTACTGGATCTAGAGTTTTCAAGCTCTAAGATTAAGAGAAATTGCTCATTAGTACCTCAACAGTACCTTTTGTTGCAGGAGATCAGAGCTATACCAGTGGCAGAACTTGCAAGTAGAATCAGTGTTGAAGTTTTGAATCCAACTACTAAAAAACTAAAGTAACTTTCCAGTTAAGGTCAACTCCTGGTGGACACATCCATATGGCTTTTGTGGCATGATAACGATCCAGGATTTCTCCAATCAGGGTGTTTTATTTATTTATTTATTTTCCAGTTTAACCTAGAATCCTAGACTTAGTACCCTAAGTACTAACAAGGGCTGACCTTGTTTAGCTTTCTAGATCGGCCAAGGTCAGTAAGGTGCTGCTATCACTGAGTTATATGAGTGAAGCAGAGATGCACTCTGCAGTCAATCCATACTCCTGAACTGAATCCAGAGAGCCCCAATTTTGGTGCTGCTGCATGGGGAAAAGTACTATTAGGGAGCCTAACACAACATAGCTGATAATGTATTTCTATGGGGATAAAGCAAAATATGTCATATTCTTTGAAATATTATGCTTTCCCTAGCAGGTACATCATATTACATTTTTAGATTATACATTGAATGTTTCTTTATGTAGGAAACTACCAAAAGAGTATAGCAGCAAGGAGGATAGGTTAGCCTTTGTTTTTTCCACATAATGATTTTTTGAAAGTGGCATTTTCCATCTGCTGCCTAAAGTGGTGCATTCCACTGTTTTATTATTGCTCAACAGAAGCCATGAGGCAATTCATGAGTATTTCTGCCCGTGTGTTTTACAGCATTTTTTAATGTTTTCAGATCTCCACTCTGATATTGAGTTGCAGCTCAACTTATTTTGCTAGCAGATTCCAATATTCAGCTGGGATGAAGAATTCTAAACAGGATTTAATGGTGACTATAAACCACAGACTCATATTTGAAGATTTCCCTTTACATAACGAAGGAACACTGGTGATAACTTTGCATGGACTTGAAAGTTAATCGTGACTGCACCTGGGAAAGTCTTGGTTGGGAGACCACCACAGAATGCCAAGTTGTAAACAAAATTGGGAAGCTGAAAAAAACAAGGTAGTGCAAATCACTTCCAGACTGCTGTGAAGAAAACTGAGGTGTTCTCTCTTGTAGTGGGTTCTGTCCATCATTAATGCAATGGTATTGTTCTTTGACTAAAAGTAACATGACTTTAGGATTTGTTTTTTTAGTGTTTTGCATGGACTGTTTTGGTCTTATTTATAAAGGATGGTATGTAAGCTCAGAGTTAATAACAATTGGAGCAGCATATAAGCCCAATAAATAAATAAATCTCTGTTTGTACCCATGTAGTCACCAGGAGTACAACGCAACTCAGGAGCCGTTTAAAAAAAAAATCTACTGTACTGTAAAGTAATGCCCTGGAAAATCTACAATTAGTCCAAAATTCATTAATATTTGTGAACTGATCCTTGCAATTCATGGTTTTAGTGTAATGAAGAGATGTTCTCATATTTCATAGTCATTCCATGCATTTAGTAGCAGCAGAATGCAAGCTATTAATATTGTTGTGAAACGTGGTAATTCCTAGGAATAATTCTGTGCCTGCTACGTAGGTAAATGTAGTTTCTCATTTTGGAAACTTCCCTTAAATGGAACTTGAACATGAATAACCCTGCTCATTTGTAATGAAAACACCAAAGAAATTATATAGCTTAACTTGGTGCTATGAGATAATCCAGAATTAATAAACAACCTATGGAAAATTTGGATGGAAGCCAGGATTTGATCAAATAATAATGAAAATGATGAATTTTTATGTTTCCACTTTAAAGGACAAATATTATATGCTGAGTATGGCTTGGCAATTACATTTATTGACTTACAATTTGGACCTATGGTGTTTTCATCCTTGGAAACATTGTATCTACAATTTATTATTAAATCAAACGACATAACACCCCCACCCCTTCCTGGCCTTACTCTGTAAAATTCAGTTGGTGATTAATCAGTTCAATGTGCAAACTTCAATAGCTGATTCCAATAGAAGAGTATAGCTGAATAGAATAAATAGAGATTGCCTATATAATGTAAAGGGTTGCTGACATCAATTCTAAAAACATCTATAGATCTTAGATTACATCTTATGCAACAAAAAATAGTATTTCAGACCTATTAGACTCCACTGCATTTTTTGAAGAAACTTCATCATGCTGGAGATGACCTCAGATTAATGCTTCATGTAAATGTTTGTACTATAATTTTTTCCATTTTAGAGGAAGTAATTACATATATTATTCAATTTTGAGACAAGCTTTATATTCTCAAGTGTTCATATTCTTTTTAACTGTAATCCTATCACATGGGAATTGACATCAAGACAAAGAAAGTAGACTCTCCATGTCATGCTGACAAGACTTACTCTTCAGCACTGGAAAGATAAATATATGGCCCTAATTATGCAATGGGCTGAATTGATGTTGGTAGCTTATGAATCACTTACCAGCATAAATTATACATGGATAATTGCAATGACATGTTTATGTAGAATTTTTATATACTGTATGTATATATATATATCTGTCAGTATATATGCCCTGTATTTTTTAAAGTTTTCTTTGTTTTTCTCTTTTATAACTGTGTGTATTGTTTATTTCCATTTTTTAATTCAATTAATAAAGCCCTACAAAAGTTTTTTAAAAGCTGTGTTACTAGGTATTGCTATAGCCATAGCTTATTGGTCATCTGAATACTCAATTTATTACTGCTTTAAATGACGTACCTCAGGCTTATGTGACAGGATTTTAATAAGCTAAAGCAAAATAGTGACTTGTACTACATCTTGATATGCAACCAAAATAGAAAATGCTAAATTAATGTCTTAGATTGTGGGGACTGGGTCATCTGGATCCCAGAGGGCCCCCTGGTTTTCAGAAGAACTCCAGAACAACACTGGAGGAAATTGAAGAGTGAACCAAACTGAACACAGGTAAGAGCCTTTTTTAATACCTTGTGGCGATAAAGGCGGTGAACTCTTATTTCTCCACCCTTATTTTTCCACAGAGTCTCAACTGGTGGCCTAGTTCAGGGTCACCTGTTCCCTTCTGGGTAAGGAGGAGTCACAGGAATACCTGGAGAATCGTTGTGAGGACTATTCTAAGCAAGTGCCAGATAAAATGGCTGGGATTTGCTTGGAGTGTGATGTATCATTTACCTCAGGTGTCATGGGTTATCAGTTGTAGTTACTGTTTTAATCCCTGTATGCCACCCAGAGTCACTGTCATGAGATGGGTGACCATATTCATTTAAATAAACAGGAGGGAGGGAGGGAGGGAGGGAGGATATAAGTAGAGGGATATGCTAAAGTAAAAAGGTGAACATAAATTGCTCAAAAGGCTCAGTAATTCTTACATTTTAATTCAGGTGATTTGTAACAAATATCACATTCCAGTCTTATTTTAAAATGGCTCTTGATTTCATATGGTCACTGTAGATACTTTCTCAAAGGCTTTGCTGTTTGAACTGTCAACTCTATTCCATAATTTTTCTCCCATTAAACTTTTGTATTTCCCTTTATGGATAGTCTCATCCAATCAACAATGTTGACAATTCAATCAGGAGACACTGACTGTTCTCAGAAGAGTTTCTTATCAATCCCTGTTCATTAAACCTTAGGCAGTTGACAAATCACTGCGGAGCTTTCTGAGAAACATTTGTTTCAGACCCTCATTTACAGTGAAAATAACTCTGCCCCGCTTATACAATTATAAATCTTTGGAGTACCACAAAATTCAGATTAACGCTAAGAATTTGAATTTCATCCTAATTTACTTGACTATGACAATGAGATATTGGTTATATTACACACACACACACACACACACATGCTTGAAAGCAGCCATTTTTCTTTGCTGAACAGAAGTCATCCAGCCATTACAAAAAGCAGATAGCATGCTCATGACTATTCAGTGCTACCACTTTTGAAGACAAGTATTTCTCTTATTTCAAAAAGCTTCTTCAAAAAAAGTAAACACCTACATTAAAATTCACCTGCCAAAATGCATGTTATTAATAAAGGGGGAAGGGAAAAACATTCCTTCTTTCAGTGCTATCACATAATACAGACTTCTTTCATCAGTCATTTTGACTGAATTAGCTAGATCTTCCTGCAAACCTCTCTTAAGAATGCATTTTTATGCTACCCAAAATGTTTTTTAATACCTTATCTCCCATTTTCACATTGGCTTCTTAAATACTGTATATGAAATGGCACTTGACTAAAATCTGCTGAGGCAAAAATCTTTGAATAAATGTTATAAATTTATATAGGAAACATAAAACAATTTAGTTCTGCTCCCTCCTGATCTGTATACATACATTAGTGTAATGTATATAAATTGCTGACTTTTATATTGCAACCCATGTAATATAACAGTTTTCAATTTAACTTTTATGTACTATTTCTTAAACACTAAAAACATTATCTTTGAAATCATTGTAAGTAAAATATGATTGGATCAGCTGAACTAGGCTCAAAGAATGGTTTAAATGCTCAATAACCACAATTCTTCATGGACCAATTCACACAATCTCTAATTGTGGTATGTGGTTTCCTTCCTTGCCATATTTATGGCAAAAAATCAGTTGATGCATTCACTATATACATAAGGTTAGTTAGATGTCAGTACCCATCTCACAGTTGAGAGAAACGTTTTATCATTCATCTCCATTTCACTGTTGTTTGCTGAAATGGGAGAGTAAAGATGGAGCTGGATATGGGCTTACTTGGACATAGAAACAATTCATTTTTCTAGCATTCACCCAAATGAGATAATTAGTTCCAAAGTAACAGTTGCAGGGATAGAGCAAACTTAGCTCACGATCACTGGTGGCAGTATCAGGGGAAGAGAAATAGCAGCAAAGGCATTTGAGACAACTGTGTCAGGTAAGAAGTGTTGGGAATGTGAGGCTAGCCAGTGACCTCACATTCCCAATACTTCTTGCCACCAGCGAAGGCTAAATTATGCTGTTGGCTCTAAACTGAACAGTGGCCTTAGCTTTTCGAAAATATTTCCTACTTTTTTTATTCAAGGGAGCAGTAGTACCACATCCAAGAATTCATGTATGTTTAATACAAATATTTCCAGTAATTATTTTTACACTCCTTTATTTTTTTTTTATCTTTTAAAGTTCTGTTGTCACCTGCACATATTTATGTTTCCAGAGGCATTCAAACTTCTTCCCCTGTAACAAAGGGCTTTCAGTCAATTTTTAAAGTTGAATTTCTGTTCTCTAAGATTATCTGATACCATCTTTTTCCTGCAGGACACCTTCTGTTCCTTCTGAAATATCTTCAGAGATATCAAGAGTGGCCCTCCTAAACCAAGAAAAAGGCTTCAATATTTCTGAACAATAACAAACAGAACTGCACATATATGACTTATATGATGTCTAACATTGCAATTAGAAGACAATCTATTTAAAACCAGTCTCCAAAAAAGACAACCCTTTCACACAGAACTCAACATGAAGAGTAGATTTTGCTCTCAGACAATCCTCCTTCCAAATTGTAGGTACTAGTTATCATACACAGTGTATCTCCTAAATAAACAATGATGTAGGAACCAAAATTTTTACCTAGCTAGTTAAACTAGCAGCTCAAGCCGTTGAGACTCAGAGGGTACCTAAATCAAATGAAGTTAAATTAAAATTAAGGCCACTTCAAGCATTCTGGCAACACCATTATTAAGCCCACTGACAACAGCAATATCATGTACTTGTGTCATCAGTGATCTATTTTTCTGCACCCCAAAAGGCCAAAATGAACTCAAGAAGTAACAATACTGTACATAAAACTAAATGGATAAACATTTCAACTTCCTGGGCCCCTTAATCCTACCTAAGGTTGTCATACAGAGGAAGATGGATTTAGGGGCTAGATATTTTGTGGATATGTGCTGTCAGTATTGATTCCTGGAGAATCAAAAAAACTAGCCCCTGCAGTTTTTTTGGCTTCATTTTTGGAAGTGGCTAGCTCAAAGTCATCCAGCTGACTTTGTGCCTAAAGCGGGATTAGAATTCATGGTCTCCAGGGTTCTTGACTGGTACCTTAAACACTACAGGTAGTCCTTGCTTAAAGACCATTCGTTCAGTGACCATTTGAAGTTATGACAGTGTTGAACAAATGGTAATTACAACCAGTCCTTGAAGTTACAGCCACTGCAGCACCCCCACAGTCACGTGATCAAAATTTGGGCACTTGGCAGCCTGCCTACATTTACGACTGCAGCGTGTGCTTAAACTTTCCCCCCATCTCTGCCCTTTTGGCCGCCCTGCACTCCGCTGCCCCAGCTGACCTTTGCCTCCTTCTTCCTCCTGCTGTGACAAGGCACGCCTGGCCGAGGAAGCTGCTGGCCCTTTGAGAGGTCTCCCCAGCACCCTGGAGACCTTGTATGGCCTTGGGGAGGGCTTGTGAAGCCTCAGGGAGGCCTTGCATGGTGTTGGGAAGGCCTTAGGAAGGGCCAGCAGCTGCCTCGGCTGGGCATGCCTCGTCAGCAGCAGGAGGAAGAAGACATCGAAGGTCAGTTGGGGTGGTAGGGGCAGCAGAGTGCAGGGCAGCCAAAAGAGTAGAGATGGGGAGATAGGCGAGTGGGGAGAGTTGAAGTGGAGGCAAGTCCAGCAGGGCAGAAGCATGAGGTCCTTGCCTAACAACAGTGCAATCCTCGCCTAATAACTGCAACCGGGACTCCTGGAACTGCCATCTCTAAGCAGTGTGGTCACATGATATTTCACCTAACAACCACTTCACTCAGTGATGGAAATTCCAGTCCTAATTAGGGATGTTAAGCAATGACTACCTGTACAGATAAGTCTATGCGGCTGCTTACTTCCACGGCATGCCATACTATTTCATAAAATAAGCATCAAACCTCACTTCAAAGAGTAATTATCTCACATACAATCTTAATCTCAATGAGTACAAATAATCATGAACTGGGTTCCTTAAAATAACTTGACTTCAACTGCCCTGCTGATATACTATGCCTATTCTATCATGGAAAAACAAATGGTTTCTCACAGCTTACTTTGTAAAATGTTTTTTTATCCATAGGACAAATGGAGTTGCAGCAGTCAAAATATATGCCTTCTTTGAACACAGTCATGCTACAGACAGTATCACATGTGCATACCTGACTGCCTACAAATAGCAAGTCACATTATTCGTGAAAGTAGCAATGACCTGAGAGGTATGCAGACCGAGACCCCGCTGTTCTTGTATAACGGAGCAGTGCTGCTTTCTTACCACGTTGCCATCTTAAGCTCACGTAGCTCACTTTGCTTCCTTTTCCTTCTCTCAATAAAGGTTTCTCCAGCGACTTTTTGCAGTGCCATTACTAATGCTCCTGCAGAGACACTGTAGAAAGACACCACAGGAAATAAATGTAGCTATGTGGGACACCAACCAAGGAGGAATTACGACAATGAAAGGATCAGACACTTAATAACTGCTAGCACTTTTTATCTCTGCCTTTTTCCTAACCTTTTCCTTTTAAAAGGAATTTGGGAAATGGAGCCCAATTTTATAATCCATCATAAATACTGAAGAAATCATCTTCCTTTACAATGTTTTAAATAAGAAAAAGAATTACTAGGCATATGTTTATTATTCAGTGTGCAACACATTACTTTTATGTATCAACATATCAAAGGTTTGCTAGTCTCTAACCATAATAAAAGCTTGCCTTTCTTCCTCCCTTCCCTTCCCTTCTTAAAATTACATATCTAAAATCCAAGTTCTGTATTTCTCCATAAAGTATGCTTTACTGTATTAATTTTTTTTTTAAAAATATACATACTTCTCAAATGAAAGCACTCAAGAATGTATGCTTTTCAAATATATCCCTTCATAACATCAGTGAATGAATGAAATGAAAACTTCCAAGTAAGCACGTTCAGAACTACACTGTTAAATTGTTTTGTTTTTGAGTTATAGCAGCTTCTTCACCAAAGTGCAAAAAAGAGATTTTGCAGTGTTTTTTTAGTCCAACTATAAATGTTGATTTTCATATTTACTTTCTTTTGATATGTGAAAGCATTGTACATACCTAAGGGATCCACTTATGTGGGCCTTCTAGAGGATAAAAAGTTCTCCTGGAGACATAAGCTCTCAAGCGTAGGCCTATTTTAAGGTACCTTGAGGGAGACACAGTTCCTGCCATAGAAACTTCTCTCATTCTTCCACAATGAAAAGAAGAATGGAGGCATCAGAAACTTCAGAACAAATGGAGACAGTGACCGACAGAGAATGCTGAAGGTATCTACAGGTAGTCTTTGACTTATGACCATTCGTTGAGCAACCGTTCAAAGTTATGACAGCTCTGAACGAAGGGACTTACAACCAGTCCCTGAAGTTATGGCCATTGCAATGCCCCCGTGATCAAAATTTGGGCACTTGGCAGCCCGCTTGCACTTGCAACCTCAAAGGTGCTTCAACTCTCCCCACTCACCTATCTCCCCCCCATCTATGCCCTTTTGGCCCCTTGCACTTTGCACCCCCTGCTGCCCTAGTTTCCCAAGGCATGGCAGCTTTGTGCTGTGCTGCTGAGCCAGGCTGGAGCTGGGCTTTGGGGGATGCAAAGGGGCCTCCTGGTGTGCTGCAGCTCTGGGCCTTTTTGCTTTTTGCTGGGGCTGGGCTTCATGCAGCGCAAAGAGGCTTCCTGGCGTGCCACAGCTCTGGGCCTTTTTGCTTTTTGCAGCCTCAGAGCTGCACCACACCAGGAAGCTGCTTTTTGCTGTGCGAAGCCCAGCCCCAGCCTAAAGCAAAAAGGCCCAGAGCTGTGGCACGCCAGGAAGCCTCTTTGCGCTGCATGAAGCCCAGCCCCAGCAAAAAGCAAAAAGGCCCAGAGCTGCAGCACACCAGGAGGCCCCTTTGCATCCC